CCCCAAAACCCCAAAACCCCAAAACCCCTACTTCCCACCCAAAATTGACCCATTAGTTAAACTCCAGTAGTAATTCCTAGTACAATATAGTGAAATTGTAGGCTCAATTGGGAAATTATGGACCAAGCTGGAGGACTGGAGTTAACTGAGAGAGGGATTTAGGCGGGTTGGGAAGTTTAGGGGGTTGGAAGGGACTTTTGGGGGTGAGGGGTTAGGGAGGGGGAGGGGGGCTTTGGGGGTAGAAGAGGGGGTCTGGTGGGTGGGTAATATGGAAGGATGGTTGAGAGATAGGGGGTGAGATTGGGGTAGAAGAATTTGAGGTAAATTTATCAAAATTTTCGAAAATTTGGATTCTCAATTTTTTGACTTTTCTATGGGATATTTGCGTTTCTTGTGGCAGAGAGTCTCATTTGTGGCAAATTGATGGTTTATGTAAAGATATGTACTGCAGGATATTATTTCAACATTTTGTTCCTAAAAGTATGTAAAGTTTGATAAATTGGATGGTTGGATATAAAGAAGATCCATTTGCTACCTCAAAAATTTTTAACACTAATGAGATGGAATATTTCAGAGAACAAGAGAAGCTGTATGATGAGATATTGGCACAACAGAACTCAGGGTTTTGCCATATGGAATTCTATGAGTCGTGTTCGCAACAAGATGAGACATTTCCAGTAAAGAGTCGTCAGGAGGAAAGCCCTGTAGAGGAAACCAAAGAACCTGTACAACAAGTATCACAAACATTTAGAGTATCTAAGAAGAGAAGCCCTCCTAAGAATGGTCCCAGTGGGAATGCCAAGAAGAAGATGAGGTATCCCTCTCGAAAAAGAACTCGACCAGTTTACCCTTTTTATATAGATTTATAAATTACTTTACTTTAATTTTTTACAAATGTTAATAGATTTCATTCAAAGAATTAGACTAAATTAGAGGAAGGTTTTCTGTCCAACAAAGTTAAGATTAGGGATTTTTCATCAAAAATATTCCCAAAGTTTAAGTGAAGAGAATACAGAGAAATAAAATTTATGGTAATCCAATATTCCTGGTATATAAAGGGGTTTTGGGGTTTTGGGGTTTTGGGGTTTTGGGGTTTTGGGGTTTTGGGGTTTTGGGG